AAAATATATTTCCTACTTGGTTCTTTGCTCAAAAAAATTTTAAGATGTTTTATTTGTATTTGTTTTAAGCACTAGAATATTTGTGCAAAGTTTCATTCATTTGGATAAACCCTCGAAAAAAAGTGACAAAATTGATTTTGACTAGGGTCGCCCCTAGTCCAAAATTGAAAATGTATTTCTTACAAGGTTCTTTGCTCAAAAAAATTTTAGGATGTTTTATTTGTATTTGTTTTAAGCACTGAAATATTTATGCAAAGTTTCAATCCATGTGTATAAACCCTCGAAGAAAAAAGTGACAAAATTGATTTTGACTAGGGTCGCCCCTAGTCCAAAATTGAAAATGTATTTCCTACTTGGTTCTTTGCTCAAAAAAATTTTAAGATGTTTTATTTGTATTTGTTTTAAGCACCTGAATATTTATGCAAAGTTTCAATCCATTTGGATAAACCCTCGAAGAAAAAAGTGACAAATTGATTTTGACTAGGGTCGCCCCTAGTCCAAAATTGAAAATGTATTTCCTACTTGGTTCTTTGCTCAAAAAAATTTTATGATATTTTATTTGTATTTGTTTATAGCATTAGAATATTTATGCAAAGTTTCAATCCATTTGGATAAACCCTCGACAAAAAGTGACAAAATTGATTTTGACTAGGGTCGCCCCTAGTCCAAAATTGAAAATGTATTTCTTACAAGGTTCTTTGCTCAAAAAAATTTTAGGATGTTTTATTTGTATTTGTTTTAAGCACTGAAATATTTATGCAAAGTTTCAATCCATTTGTATAAACCCTCGAAGAAAAAAGTGACAAAATTGATTTTGACTAGGGTCGCCCCTAGTCCAAAATTGAAAATGTATTTCCTACTTGGTTCTTTGCTCAAAAAAATTTTAGGATGTTTTATTTGTATTTGTTTTAAGCACTAGAATATTTATGCAAAGTTTCAATCCATTTGGATAAACCCTCGACAAAAAGTGACAAAATTGATTTTGACTAGGGTCGCCCCTAGTCCAAAATTGAAAATATATTTCCTACTTGGTTCTTTGCTCAAAAAAATTTTAGGATATTTTATTTGTATTTGTTTTAAGCACTAGAATATTTGTGCAAAGTTTCAATTCATTTGGATAAACCCTCGAAGAAAAAAGTGACAAAATTGATTTTGACTAGGGTCGCCCCTAGTCCAAAATTGAAAATGTATTTCTTACTTGAATCTTTGCTCAAAAAAATTTTAGGATGTTTTATTTGTATTTGTTTTAAGCACTGAAATATTTATGCAAAGTTTCAATCCATTTGTATAAACCCTCGAAGAAAAAAGTGACAAAATTGATTTTGACTAGGGTCGCCCCTAGTCCAAAATTGAAAATGTATCTCCTACTTGGTTCTTTGCTCAAAAAAATTTTAAGATGTTTTATTTGTATTTGTTTTAAGCACTGAAATATTTATGCAAAGTTTCAATCCATTTGGATAAATCCTCGAAGAAAAAAGTGACAAAATTGATTTTGACTAGGGTCGCCCCTAGTCCAAAATTGAAAATGTATTTCCTACTTGGTTCTTTGCTCAAAAAAATTTTAAGATGTTTTATTTGTATTTGTTTTAAGCACTGAAATATTTATGCAAAGTTTCAATCCATTTGGATAAATCCTCGAAGAAAAAAGTGACAAAATTGATTTTGACTAGGGTCGCCCGTAGTCCAAAATTGAAAATGTATTTCCTACTTGGTTCTTTGCTCAAAAAAATTTTTTTCATCCAAAGTTTAATTTAATATTTTATAAAAATCACAATGAACTTTTAATTTGAAAAATTCGTAAGAAAGGAAAGTATATTGCTTTTTCTGAAGCAACGGCTGTTCCTATCTTGCCTAAAAACAATACAGCTCTTCTATAGAGTAGCACGGATCAAATTTTAAAAAACTAGAAGTCTCTACAATGTCTCGTTATTGAGATTTTCTGCCGATTAACTTGCTTGCTTGCTTGCTTTCAGAAAGCGTATTTTTCGATTTTCTCAGCAACGCCGCAACCAAATTGAAATCTGTTTTTTGCATAAGATGTAAAATTTCAGGCACAAACTTTTATTTTGTATTCATTTATAGCTAAAATGCTTCGTTAACTCACAAAATCCAAAAAACTGATTTTTCAATCTGAACAAAAACAAAACATTCACACGTGAAAACGGTGTGAATATAAAAATAGAAAAAGACTCGCATTGTAAAGCGAAGGGAAAAGATTGCTATATCATTATGGAACAAGATCATTACGCCACTGCTCCATAATGTAAGAAATTTATTGAAAATCGGTAAGCAAGAAGAAAAAAAAATCTTTTTAAAAATCTTGCTGTGAAATTAATAATTTAAATTTTCTCCCAATACATATTAAGAGATCACCAAGTGATTGAAAACAAAGAAAAAATGTATTTTTAATTTAAAAACGCTGTAAGAAGTTTCTGAATCACTGTATTCGCCTCCCGTTTCATCTCATTTCTTTTCTTAAAAGTATGTAGCTATTTGATACAGATTTCCTGCTCTCTCTCTCTGTCAATTTTAAATTAATGAATACTGTATTTTGAGGACTGATCAGAATGTAGATGATGTATTTCTTTAGATGCCTTCTACTTTTCTTCATACTCCTCTTTCTCTCCATGCCGTATGCTGTAATTAAAAACTTTTTTTTTTCGATCGAAACTCATTTTAATAATGATTGATCAGTGAAGGATAAAAATTTGAAATAAAATAAGAATCTTTTAATATATTTGATTTTTTTTTCTTCTCCTTCACTTGCGTGTTATTTCATGTATCATCACCGACATCACATAGTATACAACCGTTTTAAGCACATAATGGACTATCCTGCTCTCTTAGTGTTGCTACAATTTATCAGCATAATTTCAAACGTTTGCAAGAGAGGAACAAAAAAAAACATAAAAATGAAATAAAACAACAAAGGTATTTTCGAGTCCACAGATATATCAAGTTTTTTTTTCTTTTTAGAATATAATCACTCTAAAACAATCTCAATCTCTGCCGTTCTGCAGAAATAAATATATATTTATATATATAGAGGAATAAAATATTAATGATCTTTCATGTAAGTATCATTAATTTAATTTTTTTTTCTTGGGTATGTTAAAAACAGCATACTCAAATCTATATTTAAATCAAGACGCTCAAGACTAGAGTTGGCTTTTTTTATTTTGCAAAGTCAATACACAGAAGAGCTATCTTATCATACTGTGCTTTAAAACTTTGTTTGAAATAGAAATTTACAGACAAAAATGATTGAAATTTTGAAGGTTTTTGACCTCCCAGCGAATTTTGAAGTCAAAAAAAATCTAAGTGTACACATTTGTACCTATAACTTTGAGTTCTCGATGAGGTTCATAGTAAAACAATCGGTTACTTTAACATGATATCCAATTGACAGGTTTGTCGTTATTAATCAACTGATAAAAAGTTTACCAAAAAGAAGGTTGTCCACTACCGAAATAATATGACAATAGCTCAATATGATTCAAAAATGCGCTTTTAACACTCTCAATCCTAAAGAGTTATGAATATGTAGCTTATTATTTCCATTACGACTCTACACATGTTTCGCATTTAATATTTCAGAAGAAAGATACATATGTGTAAAATCAAGGCGAAAATGTATGTCAGAAAAATAATTAATGCTATTAAGGCTTATTAAGTATTTTACTTTATTTAATTCATAATCACTTAACGTCTGTATACCAACAAGTTTTAAGGCGAACGCAAAAAGATAATTTTAAAAATTCAAAAGAAGTTTACGAGTTAATTAATAGTGCCAATTAAATTTAAGAACCGAAGTAATAATTAAGCATGCAAAAAAAACTCAGAACGGGTATAAAAGAGTTGAAGAGAGCTAAATCCTCAAAATAATGTCCTGCGCTTCGCATTTGTAGATGAAGTTTGTTGGAAGCAGGTGAATATATCAAACTGGAATGACATCAACAAAGTTTCGGGCTTAAAACTTAGTGCACATAAATTGTTCAAAAGTCATTGTGATTATGATAATTAAGAGTCATGAATGATTAAAATTATGACCAAGCTACTAAATTTATAAAAAAAAAAGGCTATCGAATATTCAGAAAAGAAGATTATACGAGCACATCACAAGGGGGAGAAAGAGAGAAAGAAAAATCTTAAAAATCATCTGCTACATCTTCAAATGCTTACTAAATCCGATTATAGTCATAAAATTTATCTTCATCCAACTTTTTTTTTGTTGATTTCACTACGTTTTGTAAGGTAAATCCTTCTCACACAATTGAATATTTTCATGATTTACTCATTTACATTCTTTATGTTGAGTCGAAAAATTTTATCAGTCAGATTATATTCCCAATTATATTTCAAAAAATATACTTTTATTCATCATTTTCTTTTTTTATACATTTTGTAGTTTTCTAATACTTTGATCAGCTACCTGGAATTATCCTCTATTCACTATCAAAAAAAAAATCTATATAAACACAATGAAGAGATCTTTCATTGAACTTATAATTCCTTACACAATTCAATGATAATTAAAATGAAAAAAGGTTTACTATCATGTAAAAAAAAGTAGACAAAAAAGTTTATGGCATATTCTAATTAGTCAGTAATTCTATTAACTTGCGGTAATTTACCTAATTTAATTAACTTAAATTTAACAAATTATGATCACTTAGAGAACTTTTATAATCCTAATGATTATTCCGCTTCAATTTCTTTTTCTTAAATAAATGCTTTCGTTTTAAAATGAAACTTTAACCTGGTTTTCTTCATCTACATATCCTGACAAAAATTGTACACAATAATTTTTGCTTTTAAAAAAAAATACTTTTGTGTTTAACACAAAATTTTTATGGAAGCTCAAATTAATAAATTTTTTCAATCAAAGACTTATCGCTAAATCTATCATACTAAATCTATAAAAGATAGTTTATATGAAGGAATGCAATGATTTGTACTGACTTACATATTAAAAACAATTAACTAATTAAAGGTTACAATTATCGACGCATGATATCTTCTATACTAAAACCTGTGCGTTTAGGTGGAGCTGCAATAACAACAGGAGCCGATGGTTGCAGATTAATTGTTGTGGTTTGTGATGTGCTACTGGTTGAAATCGAGCTTGAAGTTGATGATGCTTGAGATGGCGATATTATCGGTGGAGAGCCCATCATGGATGAAGAATGTCCCGCATCTTGATTTGAATTACTTGAATCAGACGGAATACTAGAAGCTACTAAAAGCTCTTCTGTAGATTTTAATAATGGGTGATTTCGATTCAAGTTATAAAGTCCAATATTACGTGATAAGGATGGCAAATATGGCTCGCCATCACTTCCAATAGGTCGTTTGCGAAGCGGAATAGAACTTAAGAAATTCGGAGTAGAATGATCGACTAAGCCACTTGTTATTGTAGATGATGAACGATTCAATTTGTGATGCAAATCACGACGAACATGTAGCATTGGCATAAAAATATCGCTTCGGCTATTTGATGAATACATGTGAGCTGAATTTAATGAATCTTGAGATTGCGATAAATATTGCGATGAAAGAAGATTGCTCGATCCACCTGGTGTTGGAGACCTGTAGCGTATCTCACGGTCATAATAATTTTGTGGACGCATTGTGTATGGCGATTGCGATCCACTTGATCTTTCGTGATGGCAATGCGTTATTGCCATTATATCTTTTTCTGTCTTTTCTGGTGCTGGTGTAGGTGGTTGTTCGATTTCTATTTCTTCATTTTCAGGATCAATACCGTCATGTTCATCATTTTCTTCTTGAAGTTCAGCAGATACTGGCATATTCATCGGAGACGGTGATCTAGCACCGGCTCGAGGAGAATTGAGAGGTGAATCTACTTCTAATACTGTATCTTCTTCTCCATCACTTATATTATGTATATCATCATTATTTGCGTCATTATGCTCCAGACATGGTACATCTCCTACGGCATGAGTAAGTGCATGGCGACGCAAGTCACAATTACGCCTAAAAACTTTTCCACAACTACATTCATAGGGTTTATGGTCTGTATGAGTCAACAAATGTGTTTTCAGATTTGAACGTTGATTAAAACTGCGGTTACAAACTGGACATTTGTGTGGTGATTCTTCCATATGAAGAATTTTATGCACAGCCAATGTACGGCTTTGGCAAAATCCTTTGCCACATTCGCTGCAATAAATTAAGAAAAATAAATCGTTAAATTTTTGCTCAAAGTCATAATAATTCGTCAATAAAAGTGACTGTTTGTTCTGATGTTCAGACTTATCTTACCTGCATTTGAATGGCTTTTCCTTAGAATGGATGTATCTATAGAGGATTAAAAGACAAAAAATTATTTTTTAAATGGATGCCGAATTTACAATTAATTTATCAAGATTTTAAGTCAAATGATCTTTTTCACATGTGTGCATATATTTAATTTTTAAATGCATTGTCATTATTTTTAAGCACATCGGGGCAATGTCAAAAGCAGATCATAAATGGAAAATTCTTTAGAAGCACATTGCAAAGTTTTAATTGCACTTAACATTCATTTAATTGCTTTCATTATGTCTGATTTGTTAAAATTGATTTGTTTGATGGATCTTAAGTAATCAAAAATAATATTGAATATATTTAAAAATAACTCAATGTGCACTACTTCATACTTTAACAACATTATTTCTCTTTAAAAGTGAATGAATGAATCCCTTTATAATTTTTGAACAAAAAATTTATGAAATAAAAAATTCATTTAAAAGTTTTATGAGAGAGATGCAATTGTTTTACTGAAATTGCAATATCAGCTGTATCATATCAAATTTCATACTCATTCAAAGGCCAAAGACCCTATTTTTTTGCAACATCTGTTTGTTGATGAAGATTCTACTGAATATTTCTTAAAATTTATTAATAATTAACCATTTAAAAGCTTTCAGGATATGGAGCTTAAATGCTATAGATAAAATCACGTCATTTAATTTACTTTAGCCGTTTTCTTTGATCCAGGTTAGATTACCCGAAAATCTCATAAATATTCATTTAATGCAAGAAGATAAGGAGCTACAAATGTTTCCAATTATATCAATTTCTCGTGAATATTAATAATGCTGCCTTATTTTGTTCAGCAGCAAAACAATCGTATAAAAAACGGGTAGCATCTTCAGTAAAAAAAAACAACGTTGCAGTAGCATTTTGTCTCCATACATTCAAATAATATGGCCATAAAATTTCCATGAATTAAACTACAGTTGCGCTGACCACGAGAGACAAGTTATTGAAGTATATAAAAAAGGAGTGACTATAAAAAAAGTTATTTCTTATTTATAATTATTGCATTTTAATATTTTAAAGTGATATTTAATTTAATATATCATCTTCACTAACCGTTCCATACACGAAGTCAAAAATGAATGATATTTACGTTAGTTAAAAAAAGCAAACAAAATTCCAGAGCGAATTTGAAACGAAAACGGAGAAACAAACAGAAGAATATAAGCTTCAGAGAAGCGATTTGCATAATAAAACAATAAATTTCGTGCAAAATTGAATAAATGTGTTCTTTATTTGAGATTTTTTTGATGGCAGGAGAGTATGATGTAGCAGCCTCTTAAAGAAGAGAAATAAAATAAATTTCTGAGATGAGTATTTGTTGTAAACAGGTTTGTCATCTCATCTTCATGAATGAATGGAAAAAAAAGAACGAAGAAAATATTTGAGTACAAATTTTTTATTTTTCCTGAATTGAGTGATTATAAATTTGAAGATTAGAATAAATTGATAAGAAATTAAACGTTTGGATTAAACTTATAATCCTTATTTATTGACAACAGACTGCAATGCTGAGATATGGTTATTATTACAAGATATTCGTGATACCGAAAAAAAAAATTCAGCACATAAACATAAACAACATTTGAGTGTAATGCAAATAATGTATATAAAGAAACTTTCGTAAGCTCTTAAGTACAGATAAATTGCAATAGGACTTATCAGTGAAGATATTCTCTACATAAATTGTCTTGACAATGTGGACGAAAAATGAAGGAAAAGGGAAATTCATAACATTATGATTTATATAAAGCTCTTCAAGTAATCAGCTCATCTGACCGAGAATTTCACTCTTGTTGCTTTTCTCAATAATCTTGAAATTTTGATGATTTATTGAAGGAAATCATTGATTTAAGGTGGGAGAACAATTTTAAAATTCAACAGTTCGCTTAAGTAATTTACAAAGTAGATTGAGCATCCCCTAGAGCAATCATTCAAATTCATTCAATGATAATTTTTTATTTTGGAATCATAGACACAATCATTACAGAAGAGGAAAACAAATTATTCCATAAAAAGGCCAGACTTGATAATCTTTCCTATTAGCCACATGGCAATCACTTAACTGTCACGAAATATTTTTGCTGTTAGGATTTTTGCAGGCAGGAAACTCTTTGTTTTAATTTTTTGACATTCAGACCAATTTATGTCGACTCCTCTCAATCTCTATGGACTTGAATGGTTCCAAATTATGAATTAAAATTCATATCAAGAGCTTTATCTTATAAGAATCGATAAATAAGTAAGTCATATCACTAATCTTGTTTAGAGACTCAAAATGGTAGTTTATATAAAAATAATAATCACATATACTCGACAAAAAAAGATAGTAGCAGTATTTACAAAATTTATTTTATGGGTTTAATTTATAAATTTTTTATGGTGAATAGAACAAAACAAAAGAAGAAAAGAGGAGATAGAAGAAATTCCAAATTGTATTTTTAACATCATTTCAAAGAAAAAAAAACTATCTCACATTCCTTTTAATATATGAAACAACCAAGAAAATAAAATATATATATACACAAAGAAATTTAGAGAAAATGCTGCATATATACTATTATAAAAAAAAACTTCCATCCAGAGACTATAAAAACCGGTCACGATTTACATAATTAAACGATCTTGATTGTTATTATAACTTCTCATTTTGATAATTTTTTTCAGCGTCCATGCTTAGCTTAACGCATTATACGGTGAGTTAATTAAATTTTCACCTCACTTTGGCAGTTATTTCTATTTGGAAATATTTTAATTAATTATTTTTTGATTTTCTTCTATTTAATGAAGTTTTAATAAACTTTATTTATTTATTCGAGTCCTTTATTAGACGATTATGTATCACATATTCTCTCTTCTATTTCTAATCATCAATCTATATCGTTAATTCCATAGAAATCATTGACATTCCTAAATGTACTATTTTTATGTTTGCCCACAACTTGATGCCTTACTGATACGTCTACAGAAAATTTAGATTTTTTATGGATGTCAAATAATCTTAATACGTGAAAAGCTCATGAAATATTAATAAAAATATGTCACAGTCTGTTGCAGTTGAAATTCTATTTGAAACCTAATAGCGGTAAAAGATTAAAGGATATTTAAATTATTTACTCGTTGACAGAATTTAAACAAGTTTAAAGTATTGGAAATTAATCGCATGTTTAAAAAAAGGTTTCAAAGAATTATTTCTGCTTAAAAAATTTCATACGAGCAGAAAAAATTCGTTTAATTATTTTTGCAGTTGCAGCAGACATTTTTATCCACTGTTGCTACAGACTACAACATGTGTATTTTTTTAGATTCACGAAGATTTATTTGGAATCTCATAATAATGATAACGAGATTTTTGTTTAACATGATTTACAAATATATTCACATATCTTTACATGTATTAAATGTTACCATAGAGATAAAGCATACAGTCCATTTAACTCATCAAAAATTCGTTTAGCTATAAATGAAAAGATTTCTAAATGCTTTAAAATCTATATTTCATGCTTTACTTTTTAAAACTTTTCTTGCCAACTTAATGAAAATTTTTTATTTCAAGGCATCAGAAGAACTTTGAAACCAATCAAATCAAAAGCAACTCAACATTCACTCTGGCAAAATTATGTATTAAGGCTTTAGAGATTCTTTCGAGGATTATACAATTTTAATGATTTATAGATGAGGCATTTGGGATAGCAATTCTTTCTCTCTATAAACCTGACCTGAATTATCATCTTGTAGGATATTTTTCAGAAAGAAATTCAAAACTTTAATAGTTATATATATATATATTGATATCCAATGGGTGCCGATGGTTCTTATTCTTCGAAAATGGTCCTTATTCTTCGAAATCGAAAATTCGAATTTGAATTTTTTTCAAAAAATGAAATTCCGTTAAAAATATTTCATCAAAAAATTATATTTGTTTACATCAGTAAAATTTTGATTAATTTTCATTAATCATGGGTAAAACCTGCAAAATTGCAAGCTGCAACTGTGATAATTGTACATCTAGATTTATGTCTTATAATTCGATATGCTCAGAAGCTAATGTTTTGTCTAAGCTGCATCAGGAGTCTCCCTGGGAAATTTCTGTAGAAGTGAAAGATTTCTACTTATGTTAGAATACATATTTCGAGAGCTTAGTTCAATTTCTGCTGTACGTGATTGTAACACATTCAAGACAAAATTTTCAGATATTGTTCTTAGTCAGGTTGAAATTCCATTTGAGCATTGTTCAAAGACTATTGAAAATTTAATATTATTTTTTGTAACTTTTCGATCAAAACTTGAGATTCATTGTCGATTATTACATTCAAAAAACAAATTTGCATCGAAGAATTAATTTTTGTTCATAAATAAATTTAACGGTCTTTAAAATTTCAAAATTTTTTATAAAAAATTATTTTTCGAATTTTTTCGAAACAGGTTTGAATTTTAGAAAAAATAACGCTCTACATTGTTGTAGGCACCCATTGGATTGATATTAATCCTTAGATTTATTAAAGTTAAAATATTCACAATATCAACAAAAAAAAATATTTTTAATTTCTTTAGAGTTTAAGTGCTCTTATAAAAATTATGTTCACGACTTCTATTTCAATCAACCCATATTTTCATTGTCAAGTACACGACAGTCCTATTTCGTGCCAAATTTGTGACTATTTAAAATTATTCAAAACTTTGCCAACTTTATAAAAAAATTTTGGAAATCAAGTTTAAAATGAACTGCAAGATGATTTGGTTTGGTGATTTATTTAAGGTATCCATGTAATGCTTTCAATTTTGTTGTAAAGTTAAATTTTATTGTGTTTACAATTTATCAGAATTGTCATTGTTAACGTGTATTGAATCCAGTGCTATAGCATGAAACTTATGGCAAATCGTGTGTTTTTGAAATTCACAGACTTAGAATCTTGCCTTTTTAAGGTAAAGATTAAATCATCGTCAAAGGAGCGATTCAAATCAAATCAAAGCAATAAGTCTTTTAAGGTTCCACAAAAAACATAACTCAATTCAAATATTGTAAATTAAACAGCAACGTTAACCATTATATGATTTTAAAATCTTTTTATTTGAAAACTCTTTTAAAAAAATATGAAGAAAAAAAAAGATCTTCGGCAAACATTTATTTAGCTTTTTAGGTATGATTGTTTGGAAATTTACAGCGCTAAAGAGAGAAGAAAAAAAACCTTAATTTTTTCTTCAACTCTCATGATGAAAAGTCAACAAAACAATTACACAGAAATGATTTTAGTATTAATATAATTTCAGATATTTCAGCTCTAAGTGTTACTCTGGGATATGACTGTATTGAATCGATATCTAGATAGTAATTTCTGAAGGCATCAATTGTATGGTATTAAAATTATAAGACATTTTTTTTTATTCGTTTGTAAGGCTTGATCCCCATTTTCTTTTCATAAACATTTATATCATGTCTAAGATGTAATTATCAAAAATTCAAAGTAATTACAATTTAACACAGTCATTGTATATTAAAAAGATATCTTATTTCACATACATTGCATGTTGATAGAATCACTGTTTCTTTCCATTACACCAGCTTCCATCTTCTTCTTTTTATTCATTTCAATTAAAATATACAAATATTTCGTACCAGCCTCAAATCGATCAAGAAAGAAGAAGTAAAAAAATCTAAAAAATGATTAAAGCGATTGAAACGGGTTTCTACAGCGATATACATTAAAGATTCCCTCCAATCATTCATTTTAAAAGGCAAAAAACGTAACACGACGTGAAAGAAAAGTACCGTCCCGCGTGCGGTTCGTGGAATTTCCAGGGGCTCAAGCACTAACTTACTATCGATACATTATAATTGAATTTAAGTAAGCGAGTCTGTCGATGCGACTGACCCTTCGATGTATTTCAAACCGATACCAAGACATTTACTTTTCTTCTCTTTTTATCTTTTCTTTTGCTTTTATTTTTCTGGCTCACCTCACAACACTCTACGTCCACGAGAGATGCTATTCTGTGTTGTTTTTTAAAGCAGCACTTAAAGAAAAATGATTACCATTTTATATTTCATGTACTAAGTAAGCAGTAAATTTCATTCCGCTGTTCGTTCATTCTTTATCTCCTTCTTCTTATTCTCCTTGACTTATTTTTACCTTTTTCTTGCTTCTTAAAAGCAAAAACAAAAAATACACCATTTATTGTAAGAAGGATTATTAATATGAGATGGATATAAAACAATGTTCCATAATTAAAAATTTTCGTCATGTCTTTTTCCTATTATTTATATCACCAGACCTAATGTAGAGAACAATAATTAAAATTCGTTTTTTTTTGTGTTCTCACTTTCACAATGGCATTAATTAAAGGATTTCGGTATTATTGAAATACACCCCGAGCTACACAAGCTGCTCATGTTAAAAGATAGCATTTAGTCAGTCAGATAACAAATATGTAAGTCAGTTTACCCTTCCTGTTGTATAACACAATTCACTTTACAACCCAGTGGCTAAATAATAAGAACTTATGTGCATAACTTATGTCCATTTAATTTTTAACATAGCTTTTTTTATATCTTTAAATTATTTCTCGCCCGTCTTTCGCCTAGGACTTAGTGACACTCTTTAGGTTTCGTACTGCTTAAAAATTCAGTGAGTATTCTGAGTACTTCCAATGAATGATTGTTTTCAAAAGTTAAATAATTTGCTTTTCGGGTTGATACTTGTAAATTCACTTAATTTGCTCTTTTAATTGAAACAAAAAAGGATCTCGAAAAATTAAACATTCATAGCAAATATATCTCAAGATTTAATAGCAAAATGCATAGTAGGCACCCAAATGTCAAGAGTTCTTATGTAAACTCTTTCCCAAGTTTTTAAACAACTTTTTTTTTTGTTATCAACAAGTTTAATTTTATAAATGTTCTTGTTAAAATTTAATTACATTAACAAGAGTTCTTTTAAAAAGTGTTGTTTTTGTGTCTGAGAATTTATCAAGACGACAAATGACACGAAGAGCATAAGTTTGCATTAGTATAAATATTTAAGAGATCTTAAATTTCAAGCAATTAAGAAACATGCGAAAATTCAACAAAAAAATTTCCATTCCTTTGTAAAAATGCGCTAACGCTTTTTGGGAATAAAGAATAGTCGTCTTCTTGATTTCATCTCCTCTTAATAATAATTTCTTACTCAATATTTCAAACTACACGGTAATTGTAATACATAAAAGAATCTCAACCTCTCTATAAAATTATAAGTTATATCGGTTTACAGCATGTGTATTGTATATATATATCTTTTTGTGTATGAAGCCTCATCTGACTCATCGTTTTGGAATCTCTCGCGTAGTAGATTACTTATTTCTATAATTTCGTTTTTATTGTTCGTTCACTTTTGAAATAGTTTAGAATTAATTTCACGTTGATGTAAGCCATTATTGTACGAAATCTTATTGTTCAATTCTTTTTCAATATTTCGGTTTTTCAATCGCAATCATAATTTTGAAACCCAAGTGTCCCTAGTCTAGTCTTTATGAATATTTCACTCTATTGACAAAGCTAGATTCTTACGACATGAAAATGATTGCATTAATAAATTAATGCTATCGATATAAATTTATGTAAGGATTTTTTTTCTTCTCTCTTATGATTATGTACTCAGCATAATTTAAGCATCGTTCTAATGTATTCAGAGAAAGGAAAGAAACGGATACTTTCCGTTCTATCCGAAATCTATCTTTCAGAATGTAATTTATGAGGAAAAGTAAGGTTCTATATAACTTTAATAATATAGTGTAATAAAATATCTACATACGCGTGCATGAACACATGTGAAATTGATCGATATCTGTAGCTGATATTTTGAAAGTATTTCAACTTTCCATTCGAATGGTGTCATGTGTATTTGAACTTTTACTTACCGATGGTCTCTGTAAGATAAAAACAAAATTATTAGATTTATTTTTTTCAATTTACGGCAATTATTATTTTCTCATACCTTAAATGATCCTGTCTACGGAAAGACTTGCCACAAATGTCACAAGAATAAGGACGTTCGTCGGTGTGAGTTCGCTCATGAATTAATAGATTATATGATTTTGTGAATTGTCGATTACAAAATTTGCAAATAAATTGCTTTTTTGGTCTTGAAGCACGTCCAGGTGCTCTTAGCAGTCGACGATCGAGATTCGCATGTAAACCTGGTGCTACACCAGGCGGATATAATCCAATGTGAGTAGGTGGGAATGTAAAGGAACCGGGTGTCGTAGGAGATGGTCCTGACGATAAAAACGATGGCGGATACATACTTGATGACGGTTGTGTAGAATTACCATTGTTTTGATTTCTTGGTAATAACATCACAGCTGCTGCTTCTCTAATGGCTAATTCTTTTCGTTTATCTGCCATCATTGCCATAATTTCAAAATTTGTACTACGTTTTGATCCACCATCTTTGCTACTATCCATAGAGTCTAGCATGGATGGATATAATCCCGGTCGGAGATTTCGTGATGGCAACACAGGAACGAATGCTGATTGTTGTTCTCTATTCGGTAGGCCACTTATATGTGGGTAATTTATTTGTCCATCAAAACTCGATGTTGATGATGCTCGACCACCAGATGAGGAAGATCTATGTGATGGTGAGGCTCCTTGCATAAATTGTTCTATTCGTGACGATCGAGATAAAGCTATCCCGCTATGATCGTCTATTGCACCCTCTGTAGGCATATTTTAAAACTTTTAGTTTGTTTCCTGGAAGTAGACAAGATGCGAGGAATTAAAATCATTATAAGAGAAAACTTTGTTTCATTTTATTTATTTTTTTTTTAAATAAAAATCTTGCTAAATTTTTATGGACACCATAAAATTTGCAAATCAAGTTTTTATCATCGGGATAAGAGGAGATATGTATCATAAAGTTTGAACCACTTGATTGGTGCAATATTTCTGAATTATAAAAACGAAGTCAAGAATTTTTTATACCAAATTATAGTTGACAAATTTCACAAATGATTAAAAATGTAAAGCTTTTAAATTTAGATGAGTGGAGACCATAATAAATATAAAGTGATAAATCTTAACTGCTTTGATTCCTATCGTGCAGAAACCTTCGATTTTGTTAGAAAGTTTTTTTTGAGCATAAAATTAATACAATTAATGGCAGAAAATATCACATTTTACAACTTTTTGAAACATTCGATAGTTCCTTACGTCTTGATTTTGATAATCTTATCATCCATACATATCAATAAGCTATCATTTACATAATTATTCCTATGGTTGTTAATTATTATGAACAAATAAGGTTCACATATTTTTAAGTAAAATAATTGAAAATCTTCTTTAATGTCTTATTAGTCGCAACATTATTAAAGCTTACTGAAACGGATCCCTAATAGTAAAGAAGCTAATTTGCATAAAAAATCTATTCCAACAATAACTATAATTAAAATTCTAGTAAAGTTTTGCACCTCAAAGCATCTCTCATGAATTTATTATTATCCATAATTTGCCATTAAGTTATACAAAACATATGTGCATATATACACACAGAGTGCTTTTAATAGGCATGCATAATTTTCATACAATGTGTACACAAGACTTTAGTACACATTCAAGGTGTTTGAAAGAAAATTTTCTTAGATTGCTTCAAGCATCTAATTAAAATTTAAGAAGTTCTATTTAAAATTCCGATTAACAATAAGATATACCGCATACATCGTAGATGTACAGCATATGTAAATATATAGTAGACGAAATGCATAAGAATCAAAAGAGTAGGAAAAAATTGGTAGAAAAATTCAATAGGTAAGAAATGAAACAAGTCATCTATCTTTATTATTCTTTCCTACACGCACAGTCAAAAAGATGAAAGTATATAATGAAGTAAACTATTCTATACTTCTTCTGGAATTTCTTTTGTGATGGAATAATGTAGAGAACAAAAAATTTATAGCACACACTGACACAAGTCAGCATCCCATAGATTTAGAAGAAAGATAAACATTTTTTTTTTGCTTCTTTATCTTTCCACTTTTCTGTTTTTTCTTCGTTTGCACGATAAAATGAAAAAAGTGTTAATGGTTATTTCCAATCAACTCAATTTAATTAAATCTAATTAAGAGAGATGTGTTTCGTTAAGAACACGTAAGAAGAACTTATTATCCGAAATAATAAAATCGTCTCTCATTTAAATTCGCACTCAGATTCTCTGGATTGATAATTAATTCCGTTACAATGGAAAATTTTAAATTTGAATTTTTGACTGATCTGCTATCTTTAATGATTGAAATTTACAATTAATGAAGATTTGCAGATAATTTCATAAGCTTTAAAATTCATTAAATTTTATCAATGAAAATGAAAGAAGATATATTTATTTTATGCAAGAATTATTGAAATTCAATATTCTTTGGACAACATCGCTCAGTGGCTTATTACAGCCGTGTCATAGTTTTGAATCCATGCTAGAATAACATGCTTTTAAAAATTTAACTGAGTTATATATCACATCAGGGAAATCTCCATCATATCGCAGCTGAAACTATCACTTGAATCCCATATGATTAACAATACTTATGATGATGTTCCACTCGAATTCAGCCTTTGAATATTTCAAATTTCCTCTGGCTAATTAAATTTTAGAATTCCTAATTTTTGAAAATTGCAATAATAAAATGTGAAGTAAAAATTTTAACACTACCATAATTAGCACGTTACTCCAGAAGAGTTGAGTTCTTATTAATTCATGAACAGTGAATTCTCAAGCATTTAAGACAATAATTGTTCACGAAAAAAACAACAAAGATTTAGTAATGTATTGTATTCAGTAGTAATTTTTAGACAAAAACAATTTTCAAGCTTCCGTCACTCTTGCCATTGTGAAAGGCGAAGTGAAGTAGCTTTAATTATTATTAATGACTCAAGCAGGTGTAAATTATATCTTTTATCTACTCATTAAAGATGCGAATAATTTTTTTTTTGTCAATTTTTTTTAAAAAAGGCAACAATGAACAAAAATGAATAGGCAATAAAAAGACTAATAATAAAAATTAAAAAAAAAACTTCCAAATTGTCAATGAATATTTACTATTCACACTATAATATACTCAGCTTGTGGTAAGCTAATTTATTAAATAAAAAAGAAATATTATTTCGTTTCACTTCATCCAGTTTGGAATATTTTTATTATAAGGCAGAAATAAACTATACAAATCGATTTAAAGAAATCGTTTATCCCACACATTCATAGTGACTCAGATTATAGACGAAACGGCAGCACATTTTAATATAATATTATATTGCAAATCGTTACGATTTTATGTGCATCAATTACAAGAAGCCACATAAGATTTAAATGTGAAAAAGGAGAAAAAAAACTGTTGCAAGTTTAAAACAGGTTTTTGTTAGGCATTGCAAATGGATGTGCAGATGGAGAAACGACTATACAGTAAGCTACTCAATTTAATGTATTACAACTTTTTCCTTTCCGCTGTGTACATATATGTATATATGACATATTAGAACATTTACTGTATTGAAATGGTAACGCGAACGTAGGCGTATGAATGAAATTTCTTTAAACAACTACTTTATTCCTAAAACAAACGTTGGTGTCAACTCGACAATCTCGATACTAAAAGAGATTATTAATAAATAATACAGTAAATCGGCAATAGAAAATTTATGAAATTCGCTTCTGTTTTTATCTCCTTGTCTCTCTCTCTCTCTCATCCGTTCTTTCATATACGACAAACTTATCGCGTAGCAGTCAGTTGCAGTATTTCTCAAAAGTGTCAATATCTTTGAAGATTATCTCATGATATATGAATCTTATTGGACAATTCCATTTATATGAATAATTTAAGATTTTTTAAAGAAAAAAAAATTACCTTTTTTCCTTTTTCAATATAAGCTTAGTTGTTTCTGGCACGAAAATAATCCAATAATCCACTTAGTCTATTGTTTAATATTGTAAAACTGCCTTTGACGTTTTGTATTGTATAGATTTGTTTGCAGTAAATTCAAGACACACAACTTCTTTTTTGTCTTATTCTTTCTGATTTCTTTCCTTAAATTTCTTTCTCATCTTTCTTTCACTCTAATGCTGTCTTGCTGAAAAGCCATTTGGATTTTTTATTTACATAACTCATAAGCATTCACAATTAAATAATCCTTAAAGGCAAAGCAGTATGATGTTTTAAATCCTATTTAATTTTTGACAGGAAAAAACACTATGCAATATTATTTTTATGCTGTTTCTTTCCTTTTTTTTAAAAAAAAAATTTATTATTATAAATTTATCATTATGGGATGTACTTTTTGCATCAACTTTATCAGCATGTTCATTTTTTATTTTTATTCATTTAGTTTTACAAATTGCAATCCATTTTTTTAAGGCACAAATTTTCGCACACAATTTTTTCTTCTCCATGTATTTTTTTTCTTCTATGAACTTTTTATCAATCGAAACACTAATGCACACATTTAATGATATTGAATAATATCAACATGAATATTAATACAAACAGAATTTTTAATGCACATTAATTAATAAAATTAACATGTCCAATTTCCTAAAGAAGCGTTTTTTAATCCAATATTTGCACTCTCAAAATTATTAGAATTCACATGATACGAGCGTAAAAATGCGCAATTCACATTGACTCCTAAAACACGAATGAATGAGTTAAGTCAGATACAAATAAAAATTTTAAGATGGCTTAACAAATACACAAGTGTAATACACAAAACTAGTTTTTTACCGCATACTATGAAGACATTTCTATACGTGTGAGCTTTAACATCAACAGTGTGTCTTGTAAGATTTTATGTCTGTACATCCACACACATAAAGAAGAGCAACGACATTTGAGCATTAAAGCCTTAAAGCTCGTACTTGAACAAAAACGAGTTTTTTATTGGAAGAGCTTTTGGATTTATGCGAAGACGGAATACATCAAGTATTAATTAGCATCATTATTAACATAATTAAAAACATTGCTGCTCACAAGAATTTTTTTGTCTTATTTTTCGTTCAAATTAAAAGTTAAAAAATTAATACAAGAATCTTAAAAAAGTATTTGGTATGGATTACTTGGAGCCCACACATACTGAAGCGATGCCTTGTATATCCATAATGTATATATGTGTTCATTTAAAAAATAAAGCAAGAAAAAAAACTTGTCTGTTAAAGTAGTAAAAAAATCGAATATAAAAAGGTCTGCTACTTCAGATGAAGCTGAAGCTGCCTTCTTTTTTATATTGTTCTTTTTCTCTTTCTTTCTCCTTTGCCTCGCATTCTTTAGCATGTTTTCTTTTAACCTCGTATTTCTCTTTTTTTTCTCTTCTTTATGAAACAAAAAAAAAATGTATAAAATATCCACATGAAATGAAATGAATTTAACCTTTTCGGTACATTTCTTTTATTTTTTGATTTAAAATATATATTCATAATGTTAATAAAAATATTAAATACGAAATTGCTTCCATGCGAGCCTTTCTTTGTAATTTTTATTGGTCAGATTATACTTTATCTATATTTTGCGCTCATTCATTTGGGGATACTCAGACAAAGTGATTATATTCTTTAGTGATGTTGATGCTAAATGTATTTTAAATGGACTTGCTACTTACATGTCAATATTTAAGACATAACAGATGTAGATTTGGAAATTTGGATGTTAATTTCAGCCAGTGTTGCATTCTGGCTATTTGTCTGGACCAGATAAATTCTGAGACAGAAATTTCTTCATAAAGATCGATTCTACATGTAGAAAGAAAAAAACCATCTACATGTAGATTGTGTCTACATGTAGAAACTGTCTACATGTAGATTTAATGTAGATGTCTACGATTCTACATTCTTCTCTGATGTAGACCTGAAAAAAATGTAGAATTATAGACATCTACATCGAATCTACATGTAGACAGATTCTACATGTAGACACAATCTACATGTAGATGGTTTTTTTCTTTCTACATGTAGAATCGATCTTTATGAAGAAAGTTTCTTAGCTAGACAAAAACTATTGAAGAATCTACATTCTTCATCTAGTGTAGACATCTACATTTGCAACACTGTTTCAGCAGAAATGTAATTTTTAACTGATTAAGGTTTACCTCAAAGCACCTGAAAAAAATATATATAAATATGAAATTGAAGACGACTAAGGCAATAATCACACTTGCTGGACAAAAGCATCCTGGACAAAAGATATACAAACTTGAAACAAAACAGAAGCAATTATAAATTTTGAAAGTTTTCAGACCGTTGAACATTATTTTATTTTTACGACTAGGCTTATGAGTCATTCTCTTCATTCTAAAAATTAAATTTACTCTTTTTATAGAATCCATTTGAATCTGAACAATGGAAAAGTTATATACATTTATAATTGACCATAAAACAGAAGCCATCATTTTCTATTAACACAATTTTTTTTTCTTCTCCTTTTTTGTTCTTTCAAAAAAGGTAAAGCGTAAACCCCAAAAAAGAGAAAGAAAAAAATCTTTTGTCAGAAATAAATTAAAAGGTCAGAAGAAGTGCAGTAAAAAGGAGAAAACTGAAAAATGTACATAATAAGTGGAACATTTCAAGAAACAAATTTATCTTTTATTATTCACTTCTCGCAATGTAATGCATCCAAAAGAAATTCAGAAGTCCTATAACTGTCAATAACTTTTTATTCTTTCACTTCTTGTAACTTTTTCATTTTTTATTTATTTATTTTCGTTCACTTAGGATGTGTTTATTCTTTTGTTTGGTTAAGCAACACACACAGTCAAGTTTTCTCTCTCTTTCTATCTGATGAAGATGCATGTGATGTCTATATGATAAGGAAACGACAGTACTGAGTAAACAAAAACTTGTCCCCATTCATAAATGTCCTTAAAAATTTATAGTTTGATGTGGAGATAAGTTAGAATTTTTTTCTTAAGTAAATAAGGTTAGATTACATGGAAAAGGTTTTTTAATTATGAAATGCTTCTGAATTGAAACATTATATGCCATTTCACAGAATATATACTTACTAGGAAAAGTTTGTGGAAAATACTCAATGGAGATATTTAGAGCGCAACTTTTCAAAACAAGAAAAGACCAAGGACGGTCAATAAATCACTAGCTAGCTTAATATAAATGTTCATCGGATCTAAAATATTTAAATTTTTTAAAATTCACATAATTCCTCTGAAAAATTTGACATACTTTAGTGCTGAGAGAATTGTGATGTAAATTCTGTGCTGCAGTAACGTGCAAGCAATTTTTAATTCCATAAGGAGAAATAAAACGACACTGAAAACATAAAGTTTCAGCAAACAGAGAAGCAATATTAAACCATCGCAAACTTTTCCAGAATTTCATTGAGTTACGTAGGTCAATTCAGAGGCATCTTTAGAAAATAACATGCAGCATGCAATCAAACTATAAATTAAGGAAGAAATGGAATAAAAGTTTTCAAGGATGGCAATCCATATGATGCAATTTTTTATACTTTACATAAACGATATGCAAACTCGACAGTAATTATTGATTTTCGTATAGCATGAGGATTTACGTAATAAAATCTGTATTTATTATCTATGCACTCGATTATACGTCCGCCTCCTTTGCCTTATCGTAATGTAATATACATACAAGAAGTAAAACATTTGACAGATAAAAATATTATAACATAGAATTTCCAAGATATCAGATGATTTCATTGTTCCAATAAAGAGCACATTGTGTTGTCATAGAGACAGTTTCCCGATATGAAGTGCGCATGATCTTGGTATTGCAACACTCCAGCTTCCAAAGCTCAGTTTCAATTGAGCAAGGATCATAAGTAGGAGTGCTCATACCTTTTTCATTTTTGCGCATAATTTAATGCATTCTTTATAGTTCTTAAATTAAAAAACTTTAGTTAAACATTGAAAGTTTAAAGTTATGTTGATTAAATTTAATAAAAATAAAGTTTTGAGCAGCTTTTTCTAAAGGAAGAGTAAAAAAGTAACTTTACTGATAACAGACGAATATTTTTATAGACATTCCAATATTAATGGAAAATTTTATTGGAAAAAATTTCATCATCGGATACAGAAAAATGCTAAATATCCTTTAGTCGAACGCTGATAATTGGGGCACACTGCCCTCGTTACTCATCTCTCTTTGGAAAAAAATAAATTCCTCCCATTTAAAATACAGTGAAAATTTTTTTTTTCAATCTTTACAAAGAAATAAAAAAATAATAAATCTTTTCCCTACTAAATTTTAAATTACCAACATGGATAAATTAGTGCAAAGAGTGCATCGCAGATACTGAAAGTTAAGAAATGTGAAAATATTGTTCTGAATTGAGCTCTTTAAAATATCTTCATTATAGAAATCATTCACAATAAAAATTTATATGGAAAATGAAAAGTGTAAAATCATAAAAAGACAAATTGTCTCAAATTATAGGCAAATATTCTAGGAGAATGGAATCAATTGAAGATGAAATTTCAACTGCTGTGATTCCATTATATAATTTTTTCAGATAATTTCAATGTTACATAATTTTTTCTCTGTACATATTCGATTTCGTTAAATAAGTGTTCAAATTTCCTTAGCTCAAGAAGGGAGAAGAAAAGGAAGGAATTAAAGTAATCCCACGGAAAATATATATTTACAAATAAGTGCATTTATCAAATTACTTGTCTTGTGAATTAGTGAAATTTCTTTATTAATATTTTAATAAAAGATTTGGAACTGAAATTATTTTATTTATTTATGAATGTGATTGCCATAAAGTTCTGGCGCATAAAAATGAGTGTCGTTGAAAAATTTATGAATTCATTCCCGTAAAGTGAAACTATAAAGGATAAACGTTTCTTGGATTTAAAGCTATTTTAAAGCTATCAATGGAAATATTTTGTTAATAGGACTGAAGGTATGTAAGGTATTTATATAGTTATTACGATTAAGAGTTTAAACATTAGGATAAATTGAACTCAATTTTAAGAGTGAATGGAGGAAAAGCGAAGGAAAAAATATCCTTAAAATATCGTACATTTAAAGCTTGTACTTCGTGCACAAAAAGAAAGTGTAGACATAATCTGAGTATTTTTTCTAAATATTTAACCATTTCCTTTTAATTATGCAGCCAGGAGTGAACCGCTTTATATTAATATTACGGCAAAGTTTTCGACAAAATTTCTCATGTCGAGTATGAAACACTCTCTGAATAAAATGAAATGAAGTTTAAAAAGAGAAACATTTAAAGACAAGAGAAGGAAAATTTTCACATTGAATTCGTTTACAATACTTACGTCAGTTTTACTACTTCCTTCCTCAGTTTCCTCTTCATGTTGAGTCCCATTTCAAGTTTTTTATTGCCATGAGATTTCACAATGCTCTTCTTTTTCACAATGTTCTTCATACCTATCTACCTGTCTTCCTATGCAGCTGCGTGAACGTTATGATTACAATTATTTTATAATGAGCATTTATTGAAAATTTTCTGCGAGATTTTTTTTTTTTTTGCTGACGGGGAGAATGATATCATATCATATAAATAACAATAACAGTAATAATAATAATGAGAACACTTCTTTTTTACACACAACTTTATTTTCCATGAAAATTTTCATAAAGATTTTATCAGTACAAAAAAAAGGCATGTAATGTAATAACTTATTCAGATAAAAAATATACAGAATGTTTTTAAAAAAACTTTACTATCATCAATTTAATTATGCGTAAAAAATTAATTTGTTTTGTTGGCGTGTAGCAACGATCAAGAAGTTCAAACAATAAGAAGAATTTAATTCTAATTTTGTCAGAAAAAAAAAGAAGGAGAAGACATGCTTAAATTATCTGTGAATGTAAATATGAAAGATTTATGCAGAAGCACTTGATAACGAATGATTAATCAAAGTATTATACAAAACTAGTTCGTCTATGAGATATAAATATATTATCCCGTTCATTAATATTATCCTCAATAGAGATGAATACATTCCATCATATAGCGTTCTACACTTGGCTCGGTTTCATCCGCTCTCTTACGCACTAAACTTTTATTTTCCTTTGACAAGTTCGAATGAATTAGAAACACGTATGAGAACATTTTCTCTAAGAAGTTAAAGTCTAATGCTTTCTTCACGAGACATGACGTTTTCACATACTGTGATGATGATGATGTTTCGAGAATTTCTTCAATATCTTTGTCCATTGTATTGTAAAGGTCATCGACTACTTCTTTACAATCCAATTCGTCTAAATCCTCTTGGTCAATGTTCTTTGGCTCTATATCAACTCTATTCTGATCAATTTTCACTACCTCATTGTTAACAATAAATTTCTGTACACAGTACTTAATTTCGTTAAACTCATAAATATCATTTATGTCAACATTGTTCATCGCAAGGTTATCAAATTTTTCATTTATATTTGGTGCGAAGATATCTTGATGTTTACAAACAAGTTCTGCTGTTTCAAAAAATCTCTTCTTTATTGTTTTAAGATCTTTAAGCACCTGAAATTCCTTCCCACTTTTAACGTGATACATAAGAATTTCTTTGAAGATTAAATTTGTCACATTATTACGCTCAAGTGTTCTTATAATACACGAATCCATTTTTTTGTCACCCGTACTCTTTTTGCTTAACTGTCGGAAAAACTCTTTATTTGCCAGGTTAATTTTCTCTACACAGTTTTCAGCTGAGTCATCAATTACGAAATTCTTTACATCAGATGCACTTATTACGTTGTTGTTTAATAAATACCGTGCGATACAACCTGTATCGCTATTTTTCATTGCAATAGTCTTTAAATCAGCATAGCTTATTAAATAAAAAATGAATATTAACACAACAAGTGACTTCATGTTGATATCGTATCAGAAGAAAATAATGCTTCTCACTTTGAATATTTCTGATCGTCTACTGATGGACTATTGATGAAATGGGTCACTCACTTTCAAATAACTTTTATATACTCTTCTGCCTATATTACATTTCTTCTCTCTGGCACCAATGTTTTTAATTCTGTTTTTTTTTTATATTTTTATTCTCTGAGAATACATATAACGGAATATGGAGAAAAATATACATTTCTTTCTTTCTTGAGCATTCATTCTGTCAGCACAGTCTTTGTACATTTCATTCTTCATTACATTTATTGCTTGGTTTGCTTTGCATCCAAATCCAATGTTCAACTCATGATCTAAGCTTGAAAAAATTCTTGAAATGAAAATTTTTATTTCTTTTGGGATTTGGCACTTTGTCAGTAGTGGACAAGACTTGGCATTTATATTCCTCCATTTTTCAATTTAACCCATTTGTCATGGCTAGGATTTTTTTTACCTCCCCACTTCCATTAAGGTAGATGTGATGATACTCGACTAGATAGTAAAATTGTTGCTATTTTAAAATTCACTAAAGAATTTTTCTCCTTTTAATTTAATGAGCATTTAAATAAATCATTTCAAGTGCATACATTTGCAGAAATTAAATTCATTAAAAAGAATCACAAATTAAAATTCAATGTAAAGTAGTCAATTAGCAAAAAAATGTGTGAGAGTGCTTCGGGACTGTAAATTGATGTATTTGTCACATACAAAATATTGAGGGTCTTAAAGTAGTCCATTTGGATATAATTCTACCGTTAATTCCTCATTCCTCGCTCTTTTTACACGGTTATCCTCAATGATTCACAAAGAAAAATTTTGTTTTCCAATTTATTTCAGAACTCAAAACTAAATCTTGAAAAATGGCAACAGCATTAAGAACAAGAACAGATGGTAAGTTGGAATCTTTTTGTACGAATACAAGCATTTCATTTTTGTTTGCTTAGAAGATGAAATTAATTAAAGTTGAAGCTCAAATTATGTAGATTGAATAAAGTTGTTCATTGTTGAGGGGAATAAAGAGAAAAGCATACAGAGCACACAAAAAAAAACTTAAAGCTTTTATATAGAAAGCCGTTGTATTATACAATTCATTCATCATGAATTAGGACATTTGATAAATGTTCTCAGACGTTGCAGGATTAAGCTTTTTTTTGCGCTTCCCCCATTAAATTCTTAGTACTCTTTATGAATCATTAAATTTGTTTGTATATATGATGATGAAACAATTTAATTTTTTGTCATTACTGATACGTTCATGAATTTTTTTCACGTCAAGTAAAAGAATTCAATTTATCTTCGCTGACTCAGATCAGGGGTGTATCCAGCAATCTTGCTGGGGAGAAATTGATTATTTTCCTGAACTGCACATTTAAGTTCTTTTGAGTGTTTGAGCTTTAATACTCTCCTCTGGCTAAGTCAATACTTGGAAAGGTTGGCAATTAATTCTCCTTGTACATACAGCTCTTTAAAAACTTAGACTTTAAGTAAGAAATTTAATAATAAAACCATTTTTGATCATTAAAAATTTATTTGCCAACACAACGAATAATATGTTCAAAACCTTTGATGTTGTATCCATAGATTTGTTTTTGAATAGCGAGAAAATTTCATCAAAATATTCTAAATCATATTCCTCAATTGTTTATGGAAAAATCCACGAAAGGAGCAGTTTATTAAATAAAATTTTCAAGAAACACAAATGAAATAAAATTACTCACAAAAATATCTGCGAATAGCGACTTAAACTAATTTGCATAAATAAGTAAAAAATGTAAAAAATTTGGGTTGTCATCTTTTATTTAGTATGTCGCAGAAAATAAACAAATTTGAACGTATTTACTTGCTAAAATTCAGTGGAAGAACGGCGAAATTGTGCCATATAATTTGCTCGCATCCTATTACAACATTACAAATTTATTTTCTTCTGTCTTTAACACGTTGTATATAAATCTTGAAAAATACGAAATTATTCAGAGTGAATAAAGCTCCACATAATTTGCAATTCAAGCAAAATCAGTTTGTGACGGCAAACACTTTACATATATTGCAACGTTATATGCTATTGTACAGCATTGTCAATCCTATTTGACACAGATTTTCTTTATTCTCTTTTTGCTTTTCATACAAGATAAAAGCCTGTATTGAAAAAGGAAACGCTGCAAGTACTTTCATAAATGTTTCAATTCAATCCTTTTTTAGAGCAATTTACCAGAAAAAATGTAAATGGTTGTAAAGTTTAATACACTTTTTATTATTTATTTGTTAATGAATACTCAGACATTATGAAGACATTCAACATTAGAAACATACTAGCTGTCATTGTTCAGTCTGTATGTTATAACGTGAGCACACTCAAATAAACTCCTAATAGTAAGAATCTAATAATTGTAATAGTTTTTAAACTTCTATGTAAAGACCTATAATCTCAAAAATCCTATAGAAAAGTTTTATATTGATTTTTCCTTGTCGTGCTTGACGGAAAAATACTCGAGTCATGTAATAATTGTAAAGTTAAATTTTTTTATAAAGTAAACAAATTACACCAAATATTTGAAAGCGTTAAAACTAAGTTGAAAGAATTTACATCCTTTACACCACAAAGACCAGTAATTCACATGATAACTCTGCATCTTTTGTAAGATATGGGAAAACTTTCTCTAGAAGATTTGTAGTTTATACAAATCCCACATACTCGGAAAAATGTTTACTATAACATTTTTGCTTCCATACACCTTTTGGCTATTTGTGACACATGCAAATGTGATAAGGAGAATTTTTTGTCAACCCTTAAAAATAGACCAAACTCTTTAAAAAAAAATCCAATAATAAATTTGCTATGTGTTTTGCATAAGCAGGTTGCCCGAAAAGCATAAAAATAAAAACGACTCTTTAGAGACTTTCGCATAAATGTCTTGTCATATTTTTGTCATCGGCATCCGCTTAATGAAATGAGGTGGAAGATAAATGACTTCAAAGGAGCTGTCGCATTAACAGCTTCATAATCGAAAGGATTTTTAAAACAGCAAATGCCAGCATGCTTTCTGTCTCATCACATTGGCAAAGCCAACAAGTCATATGCTCATTTTCTCGGTTGATACTATCATTGTACTAAATTTAAAATATCAACCAGTGTCTTAATATAGATCTCATGCTTTGTGGCAGCTTACTAACCACTAAATATATGTCTGTGCTATCCGGGAAGGGGTTCATGTATTTGTTTTTAGATGAACAAGCTTCCGGAAAAATTTATTCAGTATATCTAATTTAATTAAAATTATTAGACACATTAGGTTACATGATACGTCGAAAAAAATGACATTTTGTTTGAAATTGTGATTTATAAAATTATGTCAGAAACACAGAACGGAAAAATGGGAAATAAAATTTTTCGGTGAGCCAAAAAACAAGGAAATAAAGCAAATTTTATGGCGCCTATCTTATCAAATATGAAAGTTATGGTTTTGAGAAAAACAATAATGCTGTAGACGAAAAAAATGGATAGAAAGTAAACAACAAAAGTTACACATGGGTATTGTTATGTTAATAGTTGGAAACTTTATTACAAAATCATTGAACAGAATGAAATTTTACAATGGAAATTTTCGACTAATCAAATCAAATTAACTCTTTTGTTAGGCTTACATCACGCAGTTTCTTTAGGAAATATAGACGTCACGTCACAGGTAGAATATATTAATTAATAAAATACTAATTTTCAAAGCCATAAATTTTAATTCCACATCATTATGTTGTGTTATAATCTGTTCAGACGAGTTTTAATTACACACCAAGAAATTATGAATCGGAAGATGAGAGTTTTGGAAGGCTGAAAAATCGGCAACAAAACTTTTACATTAAACCCCCTATTTATTCGAAAGAAGATATCATAGATCAATATTGTCTAACAGATAAGCAACTTAATAATTCTATTGAGCCGCCACGCCGAGACAGATTTTTTGGATGTTGGTCTACACGAAGTCAACAGTCATTCCTTGGAGTGTGTGTAGGTCGACGTGCGCCATCCGATGAAAATTTACAAGATTATGCTCCTATTAGTCGTTATCCAAGGTATTAAAAAGAAATAAAAAATTTTTTTATGAAGCTTACGATGAAAAATTTTCATTTTTCTATATTTCAATAGATTGCAAAGACCTATCAGCTATGATGATGATGACTTGGAAAATTCTTATTTTCGGAGAAAGCCTACATCATTCCTAAGCAGTGACGCAAAACGTCATACATGGGTAACAATGAATAATAATGATGACTCAATGCGAATGGAGGAGTCTCGTTTAAATCGAAATTTAATGGAGAATGGTGGGCCTTATGTGGTAGAATCTTATCCTCAAAAATCATCATTTCTTAGCCAAAGTACTGAACAAATTACTGGGTAAGTAAAAACTAATCTTGTTATGCAATTTAGATTAAAACTTTGTCGAGTATTAATTGATATAACCACATAATACTTCCCTGAGTTTAATATCAAGGCGAAAAGAAAGGAAAAAATATTAAAATTGACCGCAAACCAAAAGATAAAGTAAAATGGACCGAAATAAAATGTTCCTTAAAACTTTTAAGAGTGATATAATAAATCCTTCATGAAAATAAAATTTATTAGGTAAAATTTTACAGTCCATGATTTTTAGAATCTTCAATAAAGAAATTTTTTGTGTTTAATCTGATAAGTAAATCAGTAAATTGAAACAGCAACTCAATTTTCAACTTTGTATTTGTCTAATACCTATATTGAAAGTAATTTCGTCTTATAAGGATGAATTGATTTTTCATTCAACGAAAATTAACATTTTTGTACTTTCTGACATTATATGAAAAATATTTTGATACGCGTGGGACTCAAGTATAACATCTCATTGAATAATTTTATTATTTAAAAAATGACTCGACTTCTTGCTCTTTTTAATAGCTCATGATATTAAATCAAGGTTTATTTAAATTGACATTTTTCTTGACATTTTTGGAAATTATTTCTGACATTTATTAAAAATTCATCCTACAGGTACCGATGTCCTGCACATATTAATTCACCAGCTAACGCATCATCAACTCCTATACAA